GCCCCTTGCCTGCTTTATGAGGACAACACTGCTGCTGGACAGTTACTGTGGGATGATGGCATGAGCTCCAGTATCCAGGCCATCTCCTGCAGTCCATTATTTAGGTCCCCTATGGAGAGAGTGATTAAATTAGAAATGTAAACATAAGACACAGCCTTGCCCTACAATTACTGTAATTACTACAGGAGCTGTAAATTTAAGTGGGAGCTCCAGTGTGGGGGCTCATCTCTGCTCCAGCTGATCCAGATGTTGTTCATTGTCTAGTTCTCCTGTAAGAGGCATGGTTCATGAAAGCTTCATCCCATCATATGTAACAGGCATGCAAACACAATTGTCTACTGTGCTGTGAAGTCAGTGTGTGGTCTTCTAATCTTTATCATCCAGGTCTTTAAGCTTTTTGATGATGTTTAGTCGCTGTCCAAAGAAAAACATGTATCTCCATTTTTTGTGATTTTTACTTTTCTGCATCGTTTGAGCTCAGCAGCTGTCCTTTACAATGTGTGAAAATCTTTTGAAGATTGGACCAATAGAAATGCTCCCAAACTGCTTGGAATAAAATCTCTGTCCATTAACTTACATTGAAATAAAGAACGTGTTTGACCTCTCCTGTAAAGTTACTATTTTGGAGATATATATTTTTCTTTGGACAGTGACAGTATTTATCATTAGATAGCATGTCAGCAAATGTTCAAGCAGGCTTTGAGAGGAGGTGGCAGCATTGAAGGTTTATGCTCATCATAAGGTCAGTTGACGAGAACTAGAAACAAGCACAAGGTCATCTCGTCTATGCACAACTTACACCACAATGAGATTCCACCAATCTGTGACTGTAGAGCTGGTAAATGTGGTTACTGAGCAGATTTCGTTTGATTTATTCTGCTACCGTTGAATGTTTTTTTTTTTGTCTGCAGGGAGAATGATATGTTTCTATGTGTCCAAAAGTACTCAGACACCCCTTCTAATAGTGATTTCAGCTACTTTACCATGCACCCATTGCTGACACAGGAGTTGAGTTGCCCACATAGCTTGTGTAATCTCCATGCAAAAGCACTGGCAGTACAATAGGGTGCTCATGTTTTGGCTAAAGGGGTATCAAGCCTCCCCAGTGCTCCCAGAAATACAGCAAGTGTGTATGTATTTACATAGTACTCATTTATCTTTGCTTGACTGCCAGTTACTTATTCTAGCAACTGCTTGAGTCTGAAGAAGTTAATGACCCAGATGGATCTGTACACTACACCGCAGCAACATTCTACACGTCCTCCCTACATTCCACATGGCTTCTTCAGGCCACAGCATTGCTGGAAGACTGAGAGATCGCAGCCAGACCCTTAGAGGCTTACAAGGCTAATAATTGCTTTATTTTGAAAAAAGGCCAGAACACATTACTTCCTTTTTGACATCACCTGAATCCATGGCACTGCACAGCAAAATGCTCATCAGTTGAGAAACAGGCAGAACGAAGAGCAAACTGACTTGGCTACTCAAACAAAATTGTGTAACTTTACATCTAATCGGTATCACTTGAACTGAATATTATTTCAGTGAAACCATTTTTTGATTTAATCTGTAGTGATCCAAATCCTGGTTTAAGGCAGGCATGTTAAACTTGGGACCTTCGAAGCCAAAGTGTTGCTGAGATTAGTGTTTACCCTCATCTAACACTCTCAATTAATCAAGGCCTTGCTAATTAGCTGATGACCTGAATCAGGTGTGTTTAATGGGGCAGAGTGCTAAAGTCTGCAGTGTTATTGCCCACGAGGACTGGAACCTGACACATGTGCTCTAAGAGATAGGACAAAATGTGAATTCAGAAGCTACAACCCAAGCATGCACTCTCACCACTGCCCACCATATTCAGTTTGCAGCAGCCAACTGGCTCCATCTAGTGGTAACAAAAGAAAACATGAGACCATTAAGGAAGCTTTTTACACTGTGTTAACATCACCCTAGCCTCTTCAATAGAAAAAAAAACAAACTGAAACAAATATTACAACTGAGAGAAAAAAATAACAACTAATATAAAAATGATTTTAGAGAAAATGTTGTTGCTGACACTGTGCTAGATTAAAATGATTTACTTTACTAACAATTCACAATGCATAACTAAAGAAAGGAAAGAATGGAAAGTCAGTAAATTAGACTGTGAGTGGAAAATGAGCGATGATAAGTGGAATTTTGTCTAATACTCTGCTTAACCACCGGTGGGACGCCCAGAAAACGCTGAGCAAAATCCCTGTGGACCACCAACTTTGCCATCAGCGGGCCAACAGTGGCCCATTATCCTCTTGCTAGGGATCTTGCAGTACATAACAGCTGCTATCTTAACTAATAGATTGGGGGGTAATATGCGCTTTGGGTGGCGAGACTGTTAGCTTATAGCTACACATTACAACCAGTGTTTCCGTTAGCATTACCTATATCTTGGAGGGATGATGGTGCACTGTGGGAAATGCAGTGTCTTTGCGAATAGTAAATGCACGTGTTCCTATTTTGTGCACAGCAGCCCAACGAATGTGACAGAAAAAACGTCTTAATCTTTCACTGGCCGTATATGTACTGAGCACATTTCCTTTGATTTATTCTGCTACCGTTGAATGTTTTTTTTTTGTCTGCAGGGAGAATGATATGTTTCTATGTGTCCAAAAGTACTCAGACACCCCTTCTAATAGTGATTTCAGCTACTTTACCATGCACCCATTGCTGACACAGGAGTTGAGTTGCCCACATAGCTTGTGTAATCTCCATGCAAAAGCACTGGCAGTACAATAGGGTGCTCAAAAATGTCTTTGTAATGTTTTACATAGCTTGTTTCGCTTGGCCCTTAAATAATGTAACCTTTATAAACAGAGATGTAGTAGCCAGTGACATTTACATGTACTAAAGGAACATTTTGACAGATTCATATGTTTAAATCATAATACATTTACTTCCACTTAGGTAAGTAAAGTATTTTGTGAGAAAAGCAATCTACATTTTTCCTCAGTCATTAACATTTTGTTACTAATTTCTATTTTGTGTTTAATTTCATTAAGTTACATTTGGTGACAGCATCTGTACTCCTTTGCAATTGGTCACACCTCTACCTTTTGAGGTTTTAGACAAAGAGTGCATCAAAAAAAGCTCCAGCCTCCCACCCTGATAGATGTTCTAAGAAGTTTACTCTGTACTTTAACAGATTTTGACCTGGTACTTTTACTGTTACTTGTCTCATTATTTCACCAAACTAATACATTTAGCTGACTAAGGGTTGGTTTTGAAATTGTGAGATTGTGAGAAAAAGAAATCTGATAGCAACACTCTCTTGCAAATAACCATTTCTGGCGGTTTCGGTGACCTCAAAGAAAAAAAGGTCCTTCTGAAACCAGCTGCAGTCATACTGAAACGCCTTACTGATATCAGTCACAGTAGAACTTCTGACCCCTTGTACTGATGTGGCAGAGGAAGCAGAGGTGAATTTCACACAAAAATGTGTTTTCATAATTGCTTCTGACAGTCTCAAGACTGAGAAATAATAGTAACTACAGCAGTGTGCTGCTGCATTTTGGCTGTATGGAAAACTACAGTATTTGCATCTTGCATACTAGTTTGAATTGAGTAAAGTGGGAGACTTGGACTTGAATTTGCAAAAAATTTCAGGATATGAGTGCTGGTCTAGCCCTGCCAAGTCATGGCCATCACTTAACTGTCAAAACAGAATAATCCTGTCTTACTGAGTCGTGGCAAAACATTGGGATCCTGTTCCTACAACTTCGTAAGCTGTGGCTATGCATTATTTTTTATTAAGAAGGGATGTCACCAGCAGGGTTCTTTAAGAAACAGATTCAAATTATATACAAACACATACTATATGGCCCAAAGAATATGAACAGACTCTTGTACTTGTGCTTCAGACAAACACTGGGAGTAGGATGGATTGTGCTGAAGAGCTCAGTGACTTTAAACATGGCACTGTCAAGGGATGCCACCTTTGCCACAAGTCAAGTTTGTGAAACTGTTAGATCTGCCCCAGTCAACTGTAAGTGTTATCATTGTGAAATGGAAGCATTTCAGTGAAACAACAGCTCAGCCACGAAGCAGTAGACCACTATCCTATGCACTGTTGCCTCACTTACTACAGGGTCCAATCTGTCTCTGGGAGCAACATCAGCACAATAACTGTGTGTCGGGAGCTTCACGAATGGCCAGGCGGATGCTCACATGCCTAAGATGACCATGTGCATTGCCAAGAGTGGCTGGAGTGTTGTAAAGCCTGCTGTAACTGGACCCTGGAGCAGTGGAAATGTGTTCTCTGGAGTGATTAATCACACTTCACTATCTGGCAGTCTGATGAACAATTCTGAGTTTGGCGGATGCTGGGAGGATGTTACCTACCTACAAGTGAGGTGGAATGCATGGTACTAACAGTAAAGTTTGGTGCAGAGGGGATAATGGTCTGGGGTTTTTTTTCAGGGTTTGGGCTACAGCCCATTTTAAACTGTCATATACTTTCAAATTGGTGGCAACAGTTTGAACAGGCCATTTCCTGTTTCAACATGAACATCTGAACATCTTTGGAATGAATAAGAATGTCGACTGTGAGCCAGTCCTTCTCATGCCTGACCTCACAAATGCTTTTGACTCAATGGGGACAAATTCCCAGAGACACTCTCCAAAATCTTATAGAAAGCCTTCCCAAAAGCGTGGAAGCTGTTATAGCTGTGGGGTAGGCAACTCCATACCACTACCCATAGTTTTGTAATGGGATGTCCACCAAGCTCATCTAGGAGTATTTTCTCCTTATTATGTAATGTAAATATACAGCCATTGTATCCAAATATGACATTGAGATTTTTTTTTATCATATTTATTATTCCAAAACAACAAGTGATAATCAAATGTAACACAAATAAGTTATACTGTAGTAAAAAGCACTTGAGATTTCTGTCCATGGTCACCATTAGTGTACGAGCCCCTATGAAAATAGCATAGAAAGTATACAATTTGTTTTTTTGTCATATATATATATATATATATATATATATGTATATTTTTCAATATCTATACAAGCATTTCCCTTGGCTGAATGAAAGCAAGAAAAGTGGCTCCGTGGCAACAAATCCTGCAATTAATTCATTTAACTTTTCTGATATTTAAAAAGCAAAATCTTGGCTAGACAATTTTAACACATCATCCCTTGCCCTTATGAAAGAACAAGTCATTTTCTTCACAATTTAACAAATACAGAATTTAAAAAAAAAAACAAAAACAAAAATAAATTCTAAATGGATCAGAAAGCTTCTTTTTCTCACTTGGCTCTGAGTTTGATTATTGGTGCAACACCTAAATGTATCCACACATACAGGCGCATGTACACATATGTGTACAAACACACACATACACAACCACAGTGTAACACATGCACACACGCATACACTCCTACAAGCACACAAACACAGAGTGCATAGCCAACTCAAGTGTGATAAGCAGTAATTGGAGTCGTTACTCTAGGCTGATAGCTCCCCAGCGTGGCCGTTCTTAACGGGGGGTGGGGGGCTCAGCAGCCTCTTTGTTGCCATGGATACACAGTCAAGTGCTAGACCAGTGGACAGTTGAAGAGAGGCAGTGCAGAGACTCTTCTCCACCGTCTAAAAGTTCAAACACCCTCTGCTTAATTTTACAGCCACGGACACAGATTTGTTCAAAATTTATTTCGCTACAGTATTAAAGCAGATGTTTTCAAATGCTCTTGTTCAAGTCAGGCTATATTAGGGCTTAGGTTCAAGTTCAAGTTAGGCTGGAATTATGGAGGGGAGGGAGGACATTTGCATGAAGTTTTTAAATTGTTCTATTGCACTTTCACCTTCGGTTCACATCTTTTCTTGACTGACTCCTCCTTGAAGAAGCTCTACACACAGCACGCACAGATAGCAAACATCTTAAATAAACTAATAGTCAAATGAGAAAAAGAACTTCACCTCAAATGTTACCCCAAAAAAGAAAAACAATATAATAACAATAAAACAGTACAATAACAGTAATAGGGATAATAACAATTATAACAACAACAACAACAACAATAATAATTAATGAATATATCAATAACAATGAGATTTTGTTGGATATAAAAAGGAACCTTTGTAAAATTGATTGTCATGTAAAGATAAAAAGTGTCAAAAACATCCAAGGCATCAGCAAGGTGGCCATAAGAAAACGTAATGTAAAACAACAAACAAACAAAAAAAACTAAACAAAAACAAAGCCCAAAGTTACGGCACTAGAAAACCAGTGAGTTATCAGGAGTACGGCTGTGCAAGCTTTTGGCAGTCAACTGGAGGAGAACTTTCATTTAGACTTTCACTTAGAAAATAAAGAAAGAAGGACACAACAGTAAAGCACAGGTGACGTGTCCATCGTCATTTCCTTCTCTCTTTGCCAGGCTGTGTGTCCTGCAGTGTCCACAGCAGTGACTGAACTACTGCTGCATGTTAGTCATGGTCGATAATAAAGGGACGAAGCGAGTCTGTAATTGGTGGAGGAGCAGGATGGACTTCTTGAGCTGTACCCAGGTCACTATGTGCTGTGAGAGGACTCAAAGTGCTGAGGGACAGCGCTCCGTACCGCTAGTCTCTCTATTCACACACACACTAACACACACACACACACACACACACACACACACACACACACACACACACACACACACACACACACACACAGGCTTGTACTCCCTGTAGCCCTATGCCTGGAAAAAAAACCCTGAATGCCTTGAGGATGCGCACATACATACGCACAAACACACACTCTCTTTTACACGTATACACATCACACATACACAAGAAGGGAGTAAGCCAGTCCCTGAAGGCGTATGTCTAGTGCATGTCCTGAGAGTAGGGCTGCACAAAACATCAGTTTGCTTGTCATTATTGTGATATTGATATTGGCCTTTGCGATATTTAAATAAGCCTTGTAAGTAATCACAGTGGCTGTGACCCGAAATGGATCCCTATTTGCGCTTTAAGGTACTACTGAGTACCGTGGTAATTTTTCTCTTAGTGTCCCGATCGTAAAACGGAATACTAAAGTGATTTTGACAATGTGGCCTGTGCAAGTTATAGCACACTCAATATGTTTATATATATATATATATATATATATATATATATATTCCAATGAATATTAAAATTTGCTGGAAAATGCCAGCAAATTTTGTTTGTAGAGGGTGCGTAACCTTATTTTCACAAAATCAAGAAAACGTAATTTGATGAAGGATCGTATACCAACATGCATAGACATCTGAAATCATGTGTCATTCTGTAGTTGCGGTCATGCCCGTATTAGGAACTCCAGATCTAAGCAGACTTTATGAAATAAATGGTGTTTTTTGTAAATCACTGCTTTTGCTTCCTGTGGTAAACTGACCCATTCTATACAAGACACGTTTTGTCCAACATACCCTTTTCCCCAGTGGATCCTCTTGAGAACTTCTCTAGCAGTCAAAAAGCAAGTAATGCTACATACATGCTACAAGCAAGCCACCAGTCCTGTGCACTGAAATGACGGTTCACATGGAGTGTTTTGGTGAGGCTTCTGATGTCAATTCAGTGTGCAAGCTGCCACTGCTGCATGTAACAATAGTAGTATTTTGACTCTTTAACCACCTCATAATTCAGGGGACCAGTGTTATTTGGAGGAGAAAGATCTGTACAGCAAAATGTGTCAGGTTTGGAACATTTTTAGTTTACCACAGGAGGTGATGGCAACAATTTTTTCGAAAATGCCATTCATTCTTCCCATAGCGAACCAAACAGCTTAGATTTACAGTTCCTTATATGTGTATGATGCTGACTACAGAATGCCGACATGACTTCAGAGGTCTATTCCAAGTCTCTTGCTACTAAGCAATAGACAGAGAACTCTCTGTACAATTAAAAACAACGACCAAAATGCTGTTCATCGTACAGCAAAATCACTGACTGGTAAACTGCAAGTTACTGCACTCACAGACCAAGAATTGTTTACTTTGTCCTCGCCCCTCTGCACTTTTTAAAAGTGTTATGCCCAAGTGAACTGCTATAAATACAAAGCCAACTCCAGCCTCGCAATCAACTCATGTTGGTTTGTTTTCAGTGACCGCTGAGAAGTGACACAAGCTGATCAGGAGAAAAGGTCTGAATTCATTCTTGTGTTGTATTACTGCTATTTAGTAAACTAAATAGTTCCCACCTATATAGCACAATACTAATGAGAGGCTAGAGATACATTTCAGTCACAACCAATGATGTATGTGTATGAGCACAGTCTCCGATGTTCCATATGAGCTTCTGTGGCTGTTTTGATAAATAAAGGCATTCAAACAACCAAAAAATACTAATTTTGGGCAGAATAATACAGGCTAACTTATAACCGTGTCACGTAAACCATCAATGTTTTAATGTATTGCAAGTGCAATATGTAGCAATAAATTCACAATATGCTATTTTGTCCACATCATCTGTATTGTGCAGCCCTACCTGAGAGGGCAGCAAAAGAGCGTGAACCTTCCAACTGTATGGCGCTTTACACATTCTGGTGTATCAGCTCAGACTGCAAAAGTGCCTGCCGATTCTCCACGGTGAAGGTGAGTGTTCGTTAGTGCCAGTCTTCATCGTCTGCGTCCTCATCTTCGTCTGAAGAGTCCTCACTACTGGCCCGCCGCAGTCCTACCTGCTCCCCTCGTGCTCCGTTCTGCTGGCTGGCTGCTAAGGCGGCTGCTGCCGCTGCTGCTGCCTTCTCCTCAGCCTCCCTCTGCCTCAGAGCCGCTGCCTTCTTTTCCTGCTCCGCGTGGCTCTTCATGTGAGCGCTGCGGCTCTTCACCTTATAGAATATCCTGCAAAGAGCACACAAAACATTGGGGTTACTCAAGGACAGCCTCCCAGCTCTAGTGTCATTAGTAAGTTGTGCAACACAAAGATTATAGTCGTCACATTTCTTTATTTGAATTTTGTGCAAAATATCAGGAGAATACCAAATAGTGAACCCAGTATCGTGAACTGAATCACCTTGTGGGCTGAGTGTATCATTACACCCTGAAAATGGACAGATTTTTGGCAATTTGTTGGCAAAATATATGACAAGCCATACTTTAAACTCTCCTACTAATCCCTCTTACAGTAAGAAACAGAGACTAAAATTTCTTGACACAATTGTTTAATGAAGTCTTTTTAAAGGCTTTCTTGTGTATATTTTCACATCATGTATATTGGAATATTTGAAAAGCATATCGTTATGTCATTTTTATTGTAGGCCACTTCACAGAAGTTGGAAAATGGTCATGCTAAAGTGAAACTGTTTTTGGTACGTGAAACCTCACAAAAGTGAACCAAAAGCGCACAGCCAAATCAATACAATACAATTTCCTTCGCGTCCCTGAATCGAGATTACTCAATTAACTGTCAAAATAATGAGCAGATCACTCAATTACTAATGTAATCATATGTAACAAGCCTAGAATGTACACAAACTTTGTAGAAAAACAAACATGAATACTATTTTTTTTAAGAAATAATGGGCAGTAATGTGTTTGACTAAATGTTTGCAGCTATAGTTTATACTCTGATGATCAACAGAACATTATTGCATTATTGCTAATCAGATCCAAGTGATTCCGACATTCAGATGCTCTTAAAGACCTGATAAACTAAATCAGGTGTGTTGCATTATAAGTTTATTAATTGTTAAAAAACTGGTCAGTAGAAGGGACCAGTATCAACAAAGACAGTGAATGTTTTTCTCCAGAAAGTGTGCTAGAGCAAAAGCACATCACCACAAACCAAAAGAAAATCCTGGAAAAACTTTTATAAACTAGTCAGTTAACATTGTGTTGCCTTGTGTTGTCAGCAAACTGTGTTGTCAGAAACTTCAAAAACTGTGTTGGTAACAGAAGATCTACCTTCCTGCATAAATCAAACACATCTTAAGCACAATACATGTCTTCAAGAGCATCAGAATACTACAGCAAATAATATAACAGACGCTAGAGCAAAAACTCTGCAAGGTGCTGGAAATGCATGTCAGTGCATCTGCTGATATGCATACATTTTGAAGATGAGGTTTTATTTTGATACCACAGATATTGAGATTCAGACGCCACAGTCATACCATTTTAACACATTTGCAGATTATGACCACAGAGTACGATGGGCGAAAAGAATGAGTGATAGATTCATTTTTTGACAAGAAGAGAGCAGATGCACTAGCAAAACACAGATGGGCAGCAGTGGCCAATGGTGAGTGGGCAGAAGGACAGCACGTACGAGGTGTTTTCATATTCTAAGTGCACAGATGCACACAGACACAGTAGCACATACATAAACGCACAGTCACTGGGCAGATATGCGTAGACCAGAGGGCACGGCATTCAACATCGCATAAGACTTTCAGTTGCTAAGAGACTGTTGATAATAACAAAGCCAGTCGTTGCCATGGCTTAGACGAAATCTCCTATTGGAATCAGATGCTGCCGTTTTATTGCTTCCTATTCTGACAATCTCAGATGCGGATTACCCAGAGGAAGCGCCAGGCTTTATCGATTCCCTCATAAAACAGCGCACAGCTCCTGTGCTTGCTCTACTCAGTGCTAGCTGAGCCAGTCAGTGCATCCAACTAGAACTTGCACCACTGAAAATGCATGCTATGGCAAGCTGCATTCTATTCGCTTAGCAAACAAACAGCAACTCGGCTAAGAGAAACAAGATAGATAAAAACCAAATATCAAACATATACAGTATGACAGAACTGTTGCTTCAGTTAAACCTGCATATATGGGTTATACAGGGAGATTCACTCGAAAGAGGCCCTGAATATTGTTGTAACTCCCGTTAGGATGAAGCAATCTAAACCAAAAAATACGCTGCATACCTTGACGTATGTGTAATCGATTGCATTACATGCAATGCTGGAAGTGATCTCTGTTTTCTGCCAGACACATAAAGTGGTACAGGGGTATGCACCTGGAAACTGCAAAGGGAGGTTAAACATTGCAACGGCTGTCCAGCGCCTACCTCATCACTCCGATGCAGGGGCATTCCAGCTTGTTCGAAGCTTCATATACTGAGCAGCACATTGCACAATGTTTCGTTCAGATTGCTTCATCCTAGCAAGAGTTATTACAGAATATTTGGGGCCTCTTTTGAGTGAATCTCCCTGTATATATACAAGCTGCAATATATACTAATGTAATATATATACTATTGTTGTAATATACACTGAGTTGTAACGCCTAGGCAAATATTGAACGCAGTGGTAAGTGTGAAACGTCAATCACAATAACTGTCAAATGCCTCAGCAAGTCACAACTTCTCTTACTGCTCTTCTATTAAAAACATTGCTGCTTTTATTGAGTGCTTTGCTCCTTATGTTTGAATGGTGTTTTTTTTCCCCTGAAAAAAAAAATAATTTACACATTTTTGTCCTGGATGTCATTAATCAGCCAACAAGTTTAGTGTTCAAAGTTTGCTTCTTGAGTTTTGGACTGGAACTAACACACTAACGCTAACAAACAAACTATTAACTGTTTGCATCCATTAGCAATAGACATACATTGATCATGAGTTTTTATGGCTAATTCAAATTTCTTTAGAGCTAAATTGGCCGTTTTTATTAACCCTTTTATTTTTATTTATTTTTTTTTTTACCTGAAGCTCACACTGTGTGGGCTAAGTGAACATATGACGCACACCAGTACATTGCTAGTATACAAAGTACTATCTATTAGCCAAAGTTACGTCATACGTAACATTATTTGCTATTTAACAGGCTTGCCATTTCAAATTCTTACACGAAAAATCAGTAAATAACACAAATCAAATGCAGCACAATATCAAAAGAAAGTGGCAAGTAAGTATTGAGCATGATGCATTACACAATTACGCTACAACAAGTATAGCAGAATGAGTGCATTTACCTGGCTCATGAAAATAATAGTTGAGCGTTTAGAGCAAATATCTGCCAATTCTGATCCGCAATTAGCATCATATAATTGCTTACATTTGCTTCAAAGTGCACAGAATTGTTAAGTAATCTCAAACTTGCTTATGTAGTTTCAGACACTGTATAACATTTTTATCTTCATCTATAATAAAATCAGGCTTTAGTCTACTGCTCCTTTTTCAGCTATTTAATGAACTCAGTGGCTGAGTGACTACTTGGTGTATGGGATTTGCCTTAGACAGCAACACTGATTTCTCGTTACTCTGTCCTGGCCTTCCAATAATGAACTTTAGCTTGTCTTTTACCTGCCACACTTCTTGCAGGGGAACTCTCCCTCCTGTCCTACAGTGCCTTTGGCACCGCCCCCGCTTTTCCGTGCCGTGTTCTCTGGTCGAGGCTTAGGAGGTGCGGCCATGGTGTGGCTGACCCCGAACACAGGTTGATCCCTCCTTCCATCCTCCTGATGCCTCAAGACCAGGACCGCACCAGCCTGTAGAGGGAAATTACAGTCATTCACAGTCTTCAGCACCGCACAGCTCAGCACTCAATCTATAGGCCTGCAGGCTGCAACTACAGAAGCATGCCGTTACACATGCTGTTCTTGTAGGAGGCCACAAGAGGGCACTGTGTACGACTTGCAATTCAGCCAGATATAGCCTCATTCCAGTGCAAGAAGTTGTTGCAAAAGTCATACAAGAAGTCAGTGAACCTTTCAAGCTACAAGAACTCTCATGCAATCTTATTATTCAGTAATAATCTTAAGACTTATTCATTCAGTTACTACTATGAAGTATTTGACAAATATTATAAAATTATTATTCAATTATGTCATTATGAGAATGCAGCATCAAAGTGTGGGCCCTTGCAGTTTAAAGAGATGGAACACACTTAAAATGAAATTAAATTGTAATTGTCATTCTTTTCTGGTTTTCTGATAAAATATTTTGCTTAAAATATTGACCAATAAGCACCTAACTCTTAAAATTCACAGTGTTCCAAAATCTATCTATCCATCCATGCCTTCGCTTTGTAACTCAAGGCCTGGACACATCCACTTATACTCACATTTTCAGTGGCCTGTATAGATTCCGTCAACCGGCCAGGGCTGCTCTCTTTCTTCTTGTCACCTGACCCGTCCCACTTCCTGACTTCTTCCTCCTCCTTTCGCAATTCAAATCTCTGTGAACTCTGCTGATTGGATGAAGTGAGGTTATAAACACTACCTGTTGCACTCGTCCCGATGAGATTAAAACACCCACGCAAACCCACAGACCCAAAGAATAGCTTACTTTATAGTCCACCTCCTCCTCTGTGGGCCGCGTTTCAGGAAGCTCTGCTTCGCCGTACATGAGTGTGCCGTTCTTGCCGATTTTCACTTGCTTCTTATAGGTGTAGTAGAACTCCACACACTGAGCCACTGTTTTGGAGCTCACCTTTAAATCAAACATAAACATGATTTGGCCATTGAACTCAGTCCTGAGGTAATCAGACAGATATGTGACACATTGTATTGTTTTGATTTGGAAGTTACAATGTGTAGAAACCAGAATTTAGGCCAAAAATATGGGATGTTTTATTGGTTTATCAAATAAATTCTAATTTTCAGGCTGTTTGAATTTTACTGTTACATTCAAAAATACACTGTAAACACTCAAACATACACCATACGTCCTGAAGTTTGTAGACCACTGTTTATTCTTCTGAAATCCAAGGTGTGAATAAGGGGTTCCCCTTTGCTGCAGTAATAGTCTCTACCCTTCTAAGACGGCTTTACACTAGATGCTGTGAACACTGCTGTGAGGATTTGATTGCACTCAGCCACGAGAGCATTAGTGGATCAGGTACTCATGTTGGATGCTTAGTTATCGATTACTAACAGCACTCCAGCTCATCCCAACGGTATTTAGACTTTTTATTGAAGAAAAAAAGAGAGAAATAAGAGTCATGGCCAAACAAAACAAACAAAATACCAACAACTCCACTTGTTCCTTATCCCTTCCACCCCACCCACAGACAAATAAGGCTACAGGTCATTTATTTTACAGTGTGCGTTAAGCAACGAAATAGTCAGGAGACAAAAAGGGAAGGGGAATGAAAACGGAAGATGTTTAAGAATGTATTACAATTACCTTTCATTGAATATTTAATCTTTTTCAAGTTAAGAAGAGACACTGTGTCCTTAAGCCACTGAAAGGTTTGGTGTATTTTCAATTAAGTAAATGACAGCTTCTAGCTAGGGTTTGCTACTTTTGACAGAAAGTTGTGTTTAGCTGAGGAAGAAAGTGAGCTGTGCAAAAGCCTTAAATGAACAACTGCGGGAACGCTGAAAAGTTCACTGCATTCAGCTGATAAGCATCATCTCTCTGTATACCGCCCAAAGACAACATTTCACCAGATACCACCGAGAGATTTGCTTGTGCCTGTGTTTATGTGTGTTATCACTTATATTATCACTTTACATTAGCACATTAACAAAAGTGTTAATATTGGCTTATGTCTAAACAAACGTTCTAATTTAGTCTAAATATTTATTTAGGCTGTTTCTGAATAAACACCAGGGTCCTTTTCCTCTACAAGAATGTTTGAGAACATCTAATCCAAAATCTAATCTAGTTAAATATAAATAAAGTTAAATATAAAAAAATAAATTATGCAAAAACTGGTATCAGTAGAAAGCTCAGACTTTCCTCTGTTAGCAGTGTATAAAACTAAAAATGTGTCTCTGGGTTAAAGTGATTGAAAATGAAGGAGCACATCAAAATTAGTTATTTTCTTTTTTTTTTTAATCCAGACATCTTCTGATGGGAGGATCATCTTGTAAGATCATACCATTTTCTGCACCTTGAAGAAGTCTTTCTTGTACTCAGTGATGCCTTTGTTGAAGCAGCGTCTCTCCTCAGGCGTCCAGCTATCTGAGCCTGGAGGACAGAGAGAGAGAGAGAGAGAGAGAGAGAGAGAGAGAGAGAGAGAGAGAGAGAGAGAGAGAGAGAGAGAGAGAGAGAGAGAGAGAGAGAGGAGAGAGAGAGGAGAGAAGAGAGGAGAGAAGAGAGAGAGACACTTATGTTAAGGGTATATGCTTAAAGAGTGACGCAGACAAGTGTGACTGACACACACACACATACACACACACACACACACACACACACACGGCAGACAGCCAGGACACACACAGACAAATAAACAATGGTGCTCCTGTCCTCTTACAGGGATTAACTGTATGCTGCAAACATGCTCCCCCTTTCCACCTCTCTCTCTCTCGCCTCACCCACTCCCCAAGTCTGTAACCAACAGCCCTGGCCCACCCCCACCTTTTCACCCAGTAATCTCCCCAGCCCACCCCTCCCCCAGAACTCAGCTGGTATTGTTTATGACTAGAGACAGTGAGCATGGTGCAGAATTCCAGCACAGAAAAAGTCCCACCAAGCAGACACAAACACAGTTAGAGAGGTTTTGCTGAGAGGGGAGAGAGGAGACAGAAACAGAAAGACAGAGTGCAAAATGACTAAAGGGGGTAAACTGAGGTACTTACCAGAGTAGTGGTAGTTTGCCAGAGGGTGAGATTTGGGAAAGATGGGGGTTTTCAGCAAAAGAAGGGCAAGGGCTCCCTGGGAAAGAAAAAGGTGGACAATGATTATTAAACTGCTTTAACTAAAAATCACAGTGCTTTAGTTTAGCATACAGCAATCGTTCACCATACTATTTAAGAAAAAGAGTCAATCCTGTGGAGGAAAACTGACAGGGCAAAGTGATGACCAGCCCCACAGCCCACATTGATATGAAGAGATTAATGAGAACAAAAAAGAACGCTATCTTACATACACAGTGAGAGAGACAAACAGAGAGAGAGCAAGGGGGGCAAGAAACAGAGAACGAGAAATGGCGAGAGAGAGAAAAATAGAAGGAAACAGACGGTGAGAGACAGAAAGAGAGAACAAGAACAAGAAATAAAATAGACAAAATAACAGAGAGAAAGAGAGAGACAGACAGACAGACAGAGAGAGTGCAAGAGAGAGAGATAATAGGGAAAAGACAGGGGACATAAAGAGAAAGGGAAACAGAGAGAGAGAGAGAGACCAAGAAAAAAGTTAGAGTGTAAGTAATAGTAAAAAAATAGAGAAATTAGTAGAGAAAAAAAGAGGTAAGAGAGCAAGAAAGTTAAAGAGAGAGAGAGACAGAGAGATAGAGAAAGAGAGAGATAAAGAGAGAGAGTTATAGAGAGAGAAAGAGAAATAAAGAAGGAACCGAGAGAGAGCACGAGAAAGAAAGAAAGAAAAAGGAACCAAGAAAAGGTGAGAGAGAGTAAGAAATAGTAAGAAAAAGATGGGGTGAAAGGGGGGATGAGAGAGAGAGCGAGTGAGTGAGTGAGTGAGAGAGAGAGAGAGAGAGAGAAACAGAGACAGTGCTGCCAGACACTCTCCATCTCCTTGGCAACATAGGCAAGAGCATTTCGCTGGAGGCGTTTAACCAAGCAGCGCCAGTCACTGGCTAATATTCCTCTCCTACTCTCCCTCCCTCCATCTCCAATGCGATCTGTCGCTTTATTTTTCAGCACTGAGCTGCAAACTGCAGACGGCCCAAAGCAAAAGACTAATCCTTCTGGGTCTGTTCCTGAGCACACAGAGCAGTGCTATATTAAACACAAACGCAAAAAAATTTGTTGGTATAGACACTGAATTTTCATGCCATTGTAATTCTCCTAATGTAATCAGAAGCGGTCATCAACGCCAGATAGTCCTATACAGTACAAGGACAGCAGGCGTGCAGACTGAAACAGTTTGCAGCTCCAACGCAGAGGCACATGGTCCAGTTGCATTTAGTGTATCTCTGTAATTGACAGCTGGTTGCTATGGCGCCAGAGTGAAAGCTCAGCAGTAATAGGCTGGCCTCTGTGCTGCTGCTGGTTCAGCTGAGTGCACACAGAAAGCAAAGCAATGCACACAATACTACTTACAGACACATGGACACACAGGCTTGAAACACTTTCATCATTCAGTCACTTAAACTTCTTTGCCAAGTGTCATGACTGTGAATGTCTTGGCCAAATTTGATGGAGTCAATTTCAGGGATTTTACCCAACTATGTCTTACATGAGTGCAGAAAAACATGATTTCAAGGGGAAATTTTCTGCCAGTATGAGTCAGTATGATTCATCTGCCATTTTGGCTCTTCTTTTAGGCAGTGCAGTCCACTTGCACAGCACCGGTGTAGCCTTACATCATCTTCCACTCACCATGATGTCACCCTTGCACTCGTAGAGGCAGTGCATGGCCAGCTCCTGATTGGTCCCTCCTCCAAAGAGTGCACTGGAGCAGGCCAGGTGCATGAGGTCATCCACTGCAGACAGAAAGACAGACAGAAACAACATGACAAGGTTACTCAAATAAAAGTATGAATGGACTGACAGCATGTCACTGCTCTGAATAAGAAAACACAATGTTCTTCAGTTTTTTTTTGAAACACTATTCGAAAACATCAGTTGCTCTCAGCATCGCCTGAAATTTTGAAAAAGCTAACTTTTCAAGTAGTTTCGGGTAGGAATGAGCAGCACTGATAAAATTCTACAGTACTCAAAAAAGTACAAGCTAGTAAATTTTCAGGGGATAGTCCTGAGGAGACATAAGACAAGTGAATCAACTTGCATAAGGAAGGACAAATACAGTACTAAACATCACATCAACAGTATTCCTTCCACTGTGAGAAGCTGTTACTGAAAAAGAAAGAAGAAAAAGAAGAACATTGGAAAAGCTAACAAAGCTTCGTATTGCTTGGATAGCGAGAACTAGAAAATGCAACCCACTTCTAAAGCCCTATTTGGATGGGACTAAATTTACATGAGGTCCTGGGGTAATTTCCTCTTTTACAGGTGCTCCTCTGTGATTTTATTTCCATCCAGGTTGCCCACATTGGTTTTTCTCCCTCTTCCCTGCGAAAGTTACAGGCTAAATTACCTACTGTTTTTGACAAATATTCTAGACACCAATTTCTGATTTTTTTTTTTTCTCCAGGAAGATGTCACATTGTGTTGGGAAAAAACGTTTTCTCATCGCTGCTACTCGCTGTATTTTGTATTTTGGCACGCATATTTTTGAATCACAAAACAGTGGATGCTTTGGAAGTCTTTCAACCATTTACTTGGTCTGCAGAGTGGCAGAACATTGTCTCCATCCTCTTATCACTGAGAACGCATTAGCAGGAGGAGAAACAAAAAGTCTATCAAAAAAGTGAAATCTTGCAGGTTGATTGAAGTGGTGATTATAACGGCAGCAACATGCATAAAACATGTTATATTCACATACAGCTACATAATATCATCAAAACATTACTTGACATGAGCAACGTCATCACCTTTTCACGCATGCACATTTACAGCACAATGACATAAGCATGTATGATGCAAACATCCAGGCTCACAGAAATTATGTAATAATTTTACTGCCATCCAGATGCGAGAGTTCCATCACTGAGGACAAGTGTCCATTATTATTATTTTATTATAATTTTTCTTTTTAACAAATGTCTGACTGTATTTAGTGTGTCTTTGCCTTTATTATATAATTTTTTTGTTGTTTTTGTTCTGTGAGCAGTGATATATAGTTTTCTCGCTGTTTTGGACAGTAAATAAATGAATGAGACGTGGTCCATAACTTTTGCACAGTAGAGTGCTGTGATATTTTCCAAATATACACTATATGGCAAAAAGTATGCGGACACCTGACCATCACTCCTGTATGACCTAATCCAAAACCATAAATTGAGATTATTATGGTCATGCATTGTAAATAATTGTAAATAGCTGGCCAGGCTTAGAAGACTAAACTTTGACGATAGCATAAACCTTGACCAACACCTGAACTTAATAATTAGGAGGGGTGTCCACATACTTTTGATCATACTTTTACAAGATACAGTGTATCTTGTAACCACTCTATCAGATTGAATTTAAAGCTTGCACTATTAACTTTGGTACTGGTACTCTACGCCAGACGATTGTTTTGTTTTGTTCTGCTTCTCTCAAAATTCCAGCAACAGGAACCATAGACAATACTGTAAACATTAACCAGACACAAACCACATTTTGCGAAACACTGACACACTGAACCTGATCACAGAATACCGGCACAGAAGACACACTGCCAAGCTGTAACTTTAAGTTTCATTATCAGAAGTTAAAATAATTTTTTGCTTGTCTTATTAAGTTACTGTTTTGGAGAAGAGGTTTTCTCAGAACCATGTGCTATTTCCTCTGTCTGCAATAAACTCCATTTTTCTCTGCAATATCTATAAATCTACAAAGAGTTAGTTATACAACTGCAAAAGTGCAGTAGCAGATGAGTACAGAGTGCTATGTGTGAGTGGGGTTACCTCTCTCCTGCTGCTGGCCTTTGCACTCCAGCTCTGGCAGAGGCGCCCACACCAGCTCAGCCTTGTGTGGGTCGAGTTTCGCGGCCGAGCGCTCCCTCAGCTCAGGAACCTCCGCTTGATACCGCTGCCCAATATTTATCCGCCTGAGGAGAGGGAGAGAGGGAGAGAGGGAGGGAGGGAGGGAGGGAGGGGGAGGGAGAGAGAGAGAGAGAGAGAGAGAGAGGGAGAGAGGGAGAGGGAGAGAGGGAGAGGGAGAGGGAGAGAGAGAGAGAGAGAGAGAGAGAGAGAGAGAGAGAGAGAGAGAGAGAGAGAGAGAGAGAGAAGGTAAATAGAGGACCTTTCACTGGGCCATCATAATAACGTGATAAAAATCTACCAAGAATGATGCAACCTAGTTTGCAACACAGTTATTGACCATATTGACTAGTATTGACAATCACTTCTGCTGTTGATCGGCTAATCACCAAAAAAATTACCAAAAACAAGATTCAAGATTTGGTTGGAATTCTGCTTTTAAACCACAAGACAGAGCCTTTCTATGCTTTGAAGCTGTGGTATTTTAGAGTGAGCAGACTCTGGCCATGGGTAATTTGCACAACATCCAAGTTTGTCAGAGCCACCTGTTCCAAGTCTATGACTGCCAAGGTCGAGGATAAGGAAAAAAATTTTGTTTTATTGTTTTGTTCCAGGATATGCCTTTATCACACTTATGGCAGGTCCAGTGGGAAGAGATGTGGCCATTCATTAGATTTAAACTGCATGTATTGCAACTTCACCATGGTTCTTAGACACAGATGAACCAGCTTGTACCAGTCAGAGATGACATCCCAGCACGGCCTGCTTTGCTGAGCCCGCAATTCCCACCCCAACACTTGCACAAAAAAAAACTACTACTGCAGCCAAGACCAGTGCAGTCACACCATCACCCAAAACTACAAACAAGGATTCAGGCTGAAAGCTGTCTGAATAAGGAAATAAGGAAAGTAGTGTCTGCCATTTAGAAAAAAATTTATATTAACAGCAGAATTAAGTTGATACGACTTTTACAACATGATGTACGATACTGATGTGGGGGATGTGGAGGGTAATTAGAAGTTTAGGCAAAACTGTGGGCGTGCACGCCTGTGTTTATGAGATCGATCAGTACTTACGGCTCAATGCTGACAGGAGTGGCCTCACTCATAGCGGACAGCACAGGAGGAGTAATTTCGGTACTGTCTAAACCCACAACAAAAACAAAATACTCCATTACTTAAAGATAATCATATGCGTCCACACATAATTATCCTCATACGCAAGCTGTTTCTATGAGTGCCTAGCAAATATACATTCATTTACAAGTTTGCAATCACTTGTCATATTAACAAATGCTGTAATTTTGTTCAGCAATAACTCACGCACTGTAGATTGAAATACTACAGGTTTTTTAAGATGCTTAATATTTCAAGTTTTCTTTGAACAACAAGAAGTTATTAAATGATTAATAAAATACAGTGATTATTCACTTACAGTAAGTTCATGATAAGTTCCATTTGAGTTTTAATCAGCACTTAATTTTTTAAAGCTTCCTACAAATTAGATCAAACATATGAAGTTGTGAAGCAGTAGTATCTTAATAGAATTATTAGTTAATAATAATATTTTTTAGCAGTGTAAAAATCAGCAGTGGTATCAGTGACAAATGTTCATATCCCTGTAATCTACACTTAGATATTCGTCAGTGCTTCCTCAGAAGAAGCACAGTAAGAGGAACACAAGTTACGGGACACTTACTGGAGCGTAGGAGGCTGCGGGTGGCTGATTTGGGTGTGGCGGGCGGGGGTAAGCCCTGAGTGCTTGCAGCAGCCGCAGCAGCAGAGAGAAAGGTGGAGAAGTAGAGGCCTGAGCCCTCTCGCACGGGGCTGAGGATGGGGGGAGGGGTGTAGGGCGGCATGGTGAGAGGGTTGTCGGCCAGCCGCACAGGCGAGCGCAAGTGGCTCTGGTAGGGCGTGATACTAGAGTAAACGGGTGGGGCGATGAAGGTTCCCGGCTTGGGTGGCGGGATGAAGAGGGGCTCAGGACGAGGCCGGCGCTTCGACTTGCCCGATTTGCCCTCAGCATCTCCGGCACTATCTGGTCCACCATTCTGGAGTTTGGGACACATACAAAAATAAGGTTGGGGGATTAAAACAGATGACAGTATTTATGGCAGCACTTCCTCTGGATGGCAAAGAAACTGTATAATCTGCCTGATCTGTAAAACACTTGAGTCAAGATCCTCCTATCCCTGAGGAACTGCAGGGGCAGGAAAGGGGAGAAGAAAGAGAGAAAAAAAATGATAGAGAAAAAGAAATTCCCCTGGATTAGGGTACAGAGGATTAGGATACAAGAGGACTGAAAAGCTAACAGTGATGATTCCTAGGGGACTTAATCCAGGTTTTAACAAAGGGGTGGAGTGTGGATAAGAAAGAGATCATGACCAGAGGACCTGGCGCATTGACTCCCAACCCTGCTCCTGGAGTCCTGCTGTGTCACCCCTGGAGTACTTCAAGGTTTCCCTGCTCTAAAATACCTGACCCAGTAATTAGGGTCCAGTTTCCTAAAAGCATCTTAGTACAAAGATGATTCTTAAACGGTAGAGCAAGCATCACACTGAACACTCTCTCTACCAGTTAAGATGATCTTAACACTTAGATGTTTTAACAAGTCCTTAGTGAGCAGGGCTTGAAATGTTTGTCCAAACTCAAAGAGAACCAACTGACTCTTCCCTTTCAGTTTGGTTAAATTCAGACATCATTTCTCAAATGTTTGTCAGGCTCAGATCGGATTCAAATTTTACTTTTGCCATAGTCCGTCTCTTTAATGGATTTTGGCCTTAACGTCATCCTGTTTACATTTTTCTCACTGCTTCATTCTTCCGTCCTACTTTTATCACCTGAAACACTTAATTTGGAACATTGGAGTCACTTGTATTGTTGGCAGCAAGGTCCAGCAAGGTCCACAAGGTCAGCAAGAAAGCAATGCATTAAGTAAAGTTCATCCAAGCAAAAACGTTTGGAATGTTGGTTGAAGGCACAGACTGACACATAAAAGTGGAATTTAAACCTCATCCCTGCTAGCCGATGATAAGGCTATTTTTAATTTTTTTTATGAATGCTTTGAGGACAGCTAGGTAACTGTTGCTAAGTTAACTCAACAGGCACCATCATTAAGAAAGTCTTTTTGAAAGGTTTTGTTCAGTCTCTAGTTGCTTGTTTGCCGGGTTCAGATCTGGTCTGACAAGTATATTGTCAGCCTACAGTTCAGATTTACACCTTGGTCTACATATTGGGTTCAAATCACAATTTCAGTCCTGATTAAAAGCGGGTGCATTAGAGCAGAGAAAGCACAAAATGTGCAGGGCTGGGTACTAGGATTGGGCACCAATAGTGTAGTGGCATAGGAGCCAAACTCACCTGGCCGGAGCTCTCGGACAGAGAGTTGCGAAGTGAGCGTCGGCGTGTGACGATGACAGAGGGTTTGTGGTCAGGGCGGTTGGGGTCATTGGGCCGAAGAGGCCAGCTGGCTGAGAGAGAGGCCTGCTCCTTGTCTGGGGAAGTATCAGTCCGCCGCACTGGCACAGACACGGGAATAACCAGTGGCACAAGACTCTCATCTCGGGCCCGTTTGGCACTCACCCCCTCTATCCCTCGACCAGGCCCTGACGCAGAGGGACTCCAGGGCCTGTGAGGCTCCTATAGGGATACAACACATCAAATGAAATCTAGAGATAAAGACAGGCATATAATACCTAGAAACAATAGTAGGTATGGCTAAAAAAATAGTTTTCCCAAAAATATAAATTACCTTACAGTCATCGCAAATGTTTAGGCACCCTTGGTTAAATGTTTTGTTGATGTTCTAATTGAAAATAACTTAACACATCCTCTCCAGAGAACAAACTTCTGCACATTTTAATTCAGAACTACTGCTTATTTGCTGAATTAACATATTAAAGAATGTGGCAAAAATGTGCAAAAGTTATGACATTTCATATTTTATGTTTTATTTTTTCCTAAAAAATAAACTCAGCAAACAAATAATATTTGCTAAACTCAGCAAACAAATATAAGTTGAGTGCCAAAACTTGCAGACAAAGGCCATGTTTGTTTGTTCCAAATCAACAACACACACAATTTGACTGATTAACACTGTGCCAACTGCATGCCTAAATCTTCACTGACATGATATCTGTGTTATCTGTGTAACAAGGCAAAAAAATGTATGCTCTTTTGCTAAAAACAGTAATAGCATTCACCTTGAGGCCTGAAATGTGTCTGTACTTCTGTCCATTTTTATAGATAAAGTAGGTCATAATCAAGTCTACTTGAGATTACTTAGTAACTTGACACAACTGAGACAAGTGTGTGAATATTTAGGCCTGCAGTTTGTATGATGGCCTGTGAGATTCCATTACTTGTCACACACACACACAAGCAGTTATTCCTTAAATACCCTCTCAAACAATAGGAGCTTTTCAAAAGCTAAATTAACAATCATAAATGGCTAAACAGCATGTCGGCACATTGTGATTCAGGCTGTTCCTCTTCAGGCAGCATATTAAAAGAGCTTCCATTTTTCTGTTTTTGTTATGATTAAGAACAATGAGTTAATGCAGAGCAGCTAACTCCCTACTCTGGCCAGAGACCTTGTACTCAGTAAGTTTACACCATTCAGCCATAGAATTAAAACCACCTCCTTGTATCTACATAACTGTCCATTTTTATCAGTTGCACTTACCATATAGGTGCACTTTCACCCTGTTCTTTAATGGTCAGGACCCCCACAGGTCCACCACAGAGCAGGTTTTATTTGAGTAGTGAATCGTTCTCAGCACTACAGTGACACTGACATGCTGGTAGTGTATGCTAACCACACACTAGAAGACTCTGAAAAGACTTTTGAAAGACTGAAGTCTGACACCTCACATTTAAAGACAGTCAGTTTTTAGTCACAGATTATGATTTTGCAAAGACTGGGGATCCTGCAGGGTCACTATTTGCACAACTACAACTAGAGTTTTGAGATTATTTCCCATCATGCATCATGATGGAAATTTACAAAAAGAGGAACACTTTTCCTTCCTCACACCATAGTGGTACAAATGGGAAGATATGTTGGCTGGCCATGTAAAGATCTGGGGCTTAGCCCAGTTTACTGTAGAACTGTGTATTCTGGCAGATCATCACCCAGAATTTTTTAAATTAACCAGTAAAATGTGCAGTTATTTTTTTAATTTATATAAAGATTTACACATCAACAAAACATGCAGTGATTCAGCATAAAGTATATGAACTAAAAAAACAAACAAAATAAGAAATCACTGTAACAGAAAGCAAAAAAAGGAAAAAACAACACTTCGTATACACACACTCAGTAATCCGATCATAATCGAATTTCTGCAGTTATCCGATTATACAAATGGTCATGTAAACACCATAGTCTGATCTAGAAATCTGATTAAGAAATCTGATAAAGAGAGCTGGATTTAATCAGATTTCTCAGTGAATGTATACTCGTACTCTGATTTCTATCGGATTTCTCAGTCTGCAAATGCGCGAGAACAGACTGTGGATGTCGCAAGATGGCAGCAAAACACTTTTGGAAAGGTGCTGAAACCAAACACAAAATAAAGGATTTAAATATTCATTATCTTCTACATGATATATGTGCATATTTTCAGGTAAAGTGGTGCAATGTTAAAAAAAAAAAAGCTGTAGCATGAAGTTTGAGTTTTATGTTATGTTTACGTCACGTCTTCTTCTGTGAGTTTATTGGCTGGTTGCAAAGCAGAAATCTGATTACTGCCTGACTCATGTAGACCCGGAGTTTCACATTATCTGATTACTCAAGAGCATGTAAACGTGTTGGATTGGATTACTGACAAAATCAGATTTTCTGCAGTTATCGGATTATTAAGTGCATGTAAACGCACTCTTTGAGGAGGACTTTAAGAACGGTATTATTGATGTTTCTTTAACAATGCCATTCTTAAAGTCCTCTGCACTTTTCCTTACATTACTGCTGCATCCTCAGTGAACCTCAAATATTAAAACAATCAGTTTACATTTTTAGGTTAATATGATTTTTGTTTTAAAGTGTGGCAGATATGCCTTTTTTACAAAAATGTCAGGCACTCACACATGCATTGTCTCCCTTGCACTCTTCTCTTTCACTATCTCTCTCTCTCTCTCTCACGCCATGCACATGCGCTCGCTTGCTCTCACGCACGCCACGTTACTATTTGCATCAGCCAAGACTTAAAACTTGTGATAATATTAAAGACGGTTGATTTTACCGCAATCTCAGGATGAGGAAAAAAAAAAACATAAGACAGCCATCCTGACCACCTTTCACTAAACGATTGAGATGAACTCTAGCAAGACTCATGATTTTATTCTGACATTGCAAACTTCTCTGCGACAGTGAAACTGCTAGAAAAGTTGTTTGGTGTAAGGTCACATTAGTGTGTGTTGCGCTGGTATGAGTGGATCAGACACAGCAGTGCTACTGGACTTTTTAAACACCTCAGTGTCACTGTTGGACTGAGAATAGTCCACCAAACAAAAATATCCAGCCTACAACATCCTGTGGGCAGCGTCCTGTGACCACTGATGAATGGGTAAAAGATGACTAACACAAACTGTGCCATCGCTTCTGACTTTGCATCTACAAGGTGGACCAACAAGGTAGGAGTGTCTAATAAGGTGGAAAATGAGTGGAAACTCTAGCAGCACTGCTATGTCTGAACCACTTGTACCAGCACAACACAAACTAACACACCACCACCACATCAGTGTCATTGCAGTGCATCATTGAAGAACAGGGTAAAGGGGGCTAACAATGTATGCAGAGAAACTACAGTCTGTAATAAGAGAACTACAAAGTCAACCTATGTTGTAAACAAGCTGACAGAATGGACAATAAATCTATAAACAAAAAAGTGGTGTAAATGTTGTGGCTGATTAATGTAGATCAGGTCAGGAAGTAAGAAATGCATTTAAAGACCAAGCAGACACAGCTGAACAGTTTCAAGTGTTTGCACTCACTCTTCAAGGAGAACTATTTTGCTCAAAAGTCAAAGGCAGGCACTACGCATGCATAGACATGCTATTGTAATTTGTGTCAACAAAATGTTGAAACAAAGGCATGTAACCACAGGATAAGATCTCAGGCTAATAAACTCAAGTTTTATTGTGGTTATGTTTGTTGACAGAAATGCCATTTCCGTCTCTGCTTGTTACACAACGTACACACTTTTTCCCTCAGCTAAGAGTATCAGCACAAGTGAACTTGCTCTGCATTGATTTCTCAATGTTCGCCAATTTCTAAATCCTCTTCTTTTCAATATGAGTCCAAGAAACAGAGCAAACCCTTCTATGAAAGCCCCATTTCCTGTCTTGTACAGACATTTCCTTTTTCTCCTGAGTAACCAGACCAGGCGTGAGAACGTTTAGCACACAGAGTGTATGAGCCACATGGATAGGCTCCTGTCTAGTTTCATTTCACTGCAGAAACAAAGCCCTCAAAAAATTCCATTAGGTTACCACATGCCCATGAGTTGTAAAAACAGACACATAGATGAAGAAATTAAAGTTCATAGATTAATCTGAACGGCTTTGCCGCCTTAGTAGTAGCGTCCGCAGTAGCATTTGACCCACCCGGTGGCCTTGGCAACAGCTTAGTCCACACGCACTCAGGGAGGAAGGACATGCAAAAGCCTGCTGTCTACCCTTAAGTATTTTTTACCTACTAAAACATAAGTAAGTGTGGGCAGCTACAGTTGCTACAAAGGTTAGCATAGCTTGAGTTTTTTAGACTGTGCTCTAAGGGCCACTCACGCAGTGCCTCAATCAGCAGCACATGTACCCACACACCCACCCCATCTATTGTTATTAGCATGTTTTTTGTGCTAAGCTGTTGACCCCCTACAACAACAGAGGCTTATGTAATACAAAAGGAACAGAGAACAGGTGGCAGAAAATATAAACAAAAAATCCAAGTATTAGTGATAACAGTGGCATGAATCTGATTTTCTCTTTAGTCATAAAAAGAATAAACATACCTAAGCTGACACATCAGTAACATTTTTAGCCCTAGGAACCAACTACATTTATAAATCACACTCTAAAAGAAATTAATCAGAAAATGATATGCTACATCTCAATATAGAAAAAATAATGTTCTGGCATATTCATTTGCGCACATCTTATTTGTTGCTGTGACTATTCATCACTTTTGTTTTACTTCTATGAAAATTTTTATCAGTTTAATCCTTACATTCTACGCACAGCTAAGCTACAGAGAACTAAAGCACTTCTATGCGAAAAGAAGCTAGTTCTTCAGAAGCAGGATAGACTCTCACCACTTAAAGTGGAATTCTTGCATAATTGAATGGTTAAAATGTAAACAGTCATTCAAAGTGGTATGATGTGAAATGCTCCACTCTATAGATATTTACTGAGACGGACATGTTCACAGCAGTGGTGATAGGAACCAGACATCCAAAGCGTTTAATCCCTCTCAAAGCTACCTCACAGACAGGAAACAGAAAGGTATTACATAAAATGGTTAATAAGCCACAGCCATTTAATTTTTTTTTTTCACGATTTTGGCCTAAAATATATCTTTTTAATACCTTCATGTCAGAGAGGTACATGCAGGGTATTGTATGGCCAAAATGTCCCCCAAAAACCTTATTTTTTCAGATTTACTACTATTTATAAAACACAGAAGATACATGTAGGTTCACTGGAGGTTTTGGATAGTAAATAAAATGAATATATTTGCACTGTAGACATCACCTCCACTGTATAGAAATGAGAAAGGTTTCTCTACATTTAACCACCCTACATCAAACCACTCTGAATGACAGATGTTTACATCTGAACAATAGAACTTTGCAGACATTTTTAAACATTGGTGGAATTCCCCTTTGAGAGCTGAACACACTTTCCTAGTTTACTGAATTTAAATATATAAAACAATTAGGCTGCACTTGTTTAGTCACTAAATGTTTCTGTAACCATTCTCAAATGAACCACACATTTCATTCATCCACTCATCGCAATGATTTGGGGCAATTTATAGCCTATTTATTTAAGTGTATAAAGTCAGGGAGTTCTGAATTAACCTACCACAACCAAACACAGCGCCAACCCCACCCTGAACTTAAGAGTGACCAACCTCAAAGCCAATGCAGGCATGTCCTACAAAAATATGCACTCCAATTTAAACAAGCCTTGTGCATCCCTATAAAGCTTTCAGTCATATCTTCAGAAGGACCTAGTTGGTAGTACACACAGTTGGTGAAACGTTAAATAAAATAAGGGGTCATGAATTAAAAAAATGTGCCAAAATGTTGAATCGTATCTTTAAATTACAATTTATCTCTAAGTTACACCCAGTGCTGACGCTCATATGTCAACAACATGTGAGTGAGAACAGCAGAGTGCAGGCCTAATGCAGACTGGTGGACTGAAGACGAAGCACAGTAACTAGTATTCGCAGATGAAGTGTCAGCCACCGTGGCAGTGGTTTAGACTGACTGCTCATGTGAGTTGTGACGGCAGCAGGTGGCACATGCCCTTTTCTTTTAGAGCAGCCAGCTACTGTAGAGTAGTGAAACCTGTAGAACCAGTAGGCCTTTCAGAATGGTTTCAACACACGCTCTTGAGAACTAAAGTGATTGTGCAGTTTCTCTCACAAGTAATTCAGGTCTTACTCTAAGCTCTTAATAACACAATTATCAGTGTCTGCAGCATGTATGAAGAGTACCATCCATTACAAATTGATTATGCCTCCATTACACTGTAGCATAAGAACCAGAGTAAAGTTGGTCTAAAGTGTCAAGTGTCTGATGAACTTACCTTCACAGTGTGTGAGGGTAGGGATTCCATCTCAGAGGCCTTCTGAGCCAGGGTCTCAAGGTTGACCTCTTGAGACACCCTCCTCTTTCGCCGTGTGCTCTGGATGACCCCTGTAGGGGCAGCTCGAATGCCTTGCTTTGCTGCAGCCTCCCCTGCTTCAGGGGCTCCATTGTGAGAGCCTTGTGTCTGGTGGTCAGCAGGCATGAGGAAGGGGTTCTCTGAAGGTCCACCTCCCTCTTTGGAGAGGCGTCGTGATCTCCTGGGCCCAGGTTGCGGCTGCGTCTCAGTAGATGACTGAGAAACCGCAGACAGGCGCTGGGGGTCAAGGTCCTGGACCAGAGTCGATGGAGGTTCAGGTGTATCCTGGGATTGTTCCGTCATTTGAGGCTGCTCAGTCTGCACGGGTGCATGTGGCTGTTGACCACTGGAGTAATTTTCCACTACTTGCTGATTCTGTTGTAGCTTCTGCATTTCAGCTTTTTGCTGCTTTTGCAATTGCAGCTGTTGCGCTTGCTGCTGCTGTTGAGCTTGCTGCAGGTGCTGCTGCGCTTGCTGTTGCTGTAGTGGCTGTACTTGCTGTTGCATTTGAATCTGTTGCTGCATTTGTTGAGACTGCTGTGCTTGCTGTTGCGACTGCTGTACTTGCTGTTGCGACTGCTGCTGATGTTGCAGTATTTGTTGCGCTGGGTGTGCTTGCTGCTGCTGCTGCAGCTGCAGCTGTTGTTGAAGCTGTTGCTGAAGCTGCTGCTGAAGCTGCTGCTGTTGTTGCTTCTGGAGCATCAGTCTCTGGATCTGCTGCTGTTGCTGAAGTTGCTGCTGTTGCTCCTGTTGCTGCAACTGCTGAATCTGATGCTGGGCATTCGTCTGGGTACCATAGTTCAAATTTGGCAAGGTTCTATTCCCCTGGAATACTTGATAGTAACCTAAGTTTTGCTTGGGCTGACCAAAAGCTAGCTGAAAGGGCTGAAGCACTGATGTGTTCCCAGGGTTGGATGTCACATGTTGCTGGGGATTTAAGACTCCAGGCTTGTGGCTCTGCTGAAAAGCCTGCTGCTGTTGCTGCTGCTCCCAGTCCAGACCCCTGTTGGTTTTAGGAGCATCTCTAAAGGCTTCACCTGCATTGGTTGCCTGCTGTTGCTTTTCTGGTATCCTAATGGAAGACGACTGCTGCTGTGGCATCGCCATGCTTTCATGAATCTGTTTCGCAAAACCAGCCTGAGTTCCCAGGTATGTGTGAAAATTTGGCCAATTTGCCATGGCGACACCCTGGGACCAAGCCCCAGGCCTCTCTTGAGGCTGCTGGGGAGGGTCCTGGTGCGACCACTTCATGGGCATAGTCTGCTGGTAATGCCCACGGTTCTGATTTCCCTTTTCCGGGCTGAAAATGACAGAATTGAGGTACATGTGTGGCGCCTCTGCATTGGAGCTTTCTACAGTCCCAGCCTCGCTGTGGCTTTGCTCTGAGGGAGGGGCCCCCAGGCCATAGTATGAACCCTCTGCGTGCTGAGAGGCCTCTTTCATGGCAACAGCCTGTTCGTTAAAGAAAGTGATGCGCTTGCCTGTCCTCTTTGTGTTGGGTTTCTGTTGAGGTGGCAAACTCATGGCTATCATGAATAAGGATGCTGAAAGAGGGCTGGAGTGTACTTGTGACGGGGCAAGAAGAGTTCAGATCCCCAAACCACACAGAGCTCTCTCCAGTGGGATGAAACGTCTGTGTCCCTCTTTACTCGCAAATGTATCAACAAGTTTTAAAGAATCTGTGGTCATCCAAATCTGCTTAGCATAGTTGGAATGGAAGTTAGCTTTAAAACACAAAACTGCAGCATCCCATTTGCTGAAATCACAGTATCACAGTATGACAGACACGCAAACATGTCTATTAGCTTTGCACCAAGTCTTCTCCTGCTCCAAGGATATCAACAGAAACTGAGGCGCCTGGAGCTTGCCTTGTGTCGCACATTCATGGGTGACAACCTGAGAAGAGAGTGGTCAAAAACATTTTGGTCAGCTTTGAGTGGAAGTACTTAGGACACAGCGGGACTCCAATTGAAATGCCTGTCTCAGCTTTTTCATGAATAGAGACCCTGTGAAAGGGTTTGAGTGCATTTAAGGTGTGGTGCTTCAGTGCTGTCATTAGGAGCTTGGCTTACGTGCTAAAGGTGTTCAGGTTCAGGTTATGTTGTTTGTAAATCTCCATTGCAGTGCACACACACAGAAAGACACTCTCACATCTCACACTCATTTCAGAAAACCACCAATAATACCACATTGTGAGTCACAGCAGGAAATGTGAGAAAGCTATCAACTGTGAGTTTGGAAAAGTGTGCATTTACAAATGAACAATTATTTATGATGGGGCGATGAGAGAGAAAGAGAGAGAGTGAGAGAGAAAACTTTCAATTTTCAGTCAATAATGAAACTCAGCTACAGATTTCAGTATAATAATGCTGTTTCATAAATACTCAATCACCCAAACATAACAAACATTAACATTCAACAATTTCTATTTTCACATGTTAATATGGGCTGCAACTCTATTAGTTTATACTATACTGCGCTGTCATTGTTGAACATTACAAAATAACAAACAGAATGTTCAAAAAAAAAATATGGGTTGCAACTGCAATGGCCTCAAGACAATTTACACTTTCATAGATTAACATTTGTCAGCAGTAAAACACTTCTCCATGGAAACTATTCTGTGGTTATATCACCTCTGCTCTCTGCTAAGCACTGACAAAATAAAGCCATAGGCTCTCACATTATGTTGGGACGTAAGGAGAGACAGGTTTGAGATGTTAAAAATCTAAATCATTCAGGTGCTGCAGTTAAGGCTCCAGAGCAGGGACACCATGTCCCATTTCAATTATTTATAATGAGACTTGTGACGGCCTGAAAAAAAAAAGCTTTAATAGCTTGCCTTTACCAGCCAGCTTTCAGTTCGCAGACAGATGGTTCCTCTTCCTCAATTGCAATACGTGACTTTAAAAATCAACGCCATAAGTAACTTAAGAACAACCTCCTGCAATCAGTTTTCTACGCAATCAGTACTCCAGTACATGCAATCAGTACTGAAAACAGTACTCAGGGTTATTCACAAGTGCACTACTTGGCTGCAGATTGAGGCCACACTAAGAATCCTGTCTTCTACTGAACAGATTTGTTACATGTTATCACCAAGTGCATTGGTTTGAAGCTTGCACAACAGAAAATACATCGCTTCCAATGACTGATCTGCAACAACAGCAGTTAGAGCTTGTATGCATGTCTTGCAAGTGTAATAATATGACCAGTGAATGTCCAAAGGACAAAAGTGCACATACACTAGCCTATATGTCCAAAGGTTTGTAGACATCTCTTCATTTAACATTTCTTCTGAAGTGAAGAATATTAATCAGGACTTTGGCCCCTTTTACTGCAGTAACAGTCTCTTCTTTTCTGAGAAGGCTACACTAGATGTTGGAACATTGCTGCGATGGTTTGATTGCATTCACCCACAAGAGCATTAGTGAGGTCAGGTACTGATGTTGGATGATTAGTTCTGGATCACAAAATGCTCTCAATCTCATCCCAAAGGTATTGGATGGTGCTCCATCACTGCTTCACAGGCCAATGCTGGGGGGCTATACCCCTCTAGCCAACACTTGGCACTGAGCATGGTGATCTTAGGCTCATGTGCGGCTGCACCAGAGCGACCGGCAATGCTTTTCTATTGAGATTATACAAGGCCTGTGTCAGCAATGGGTGCACATTAAAGTAGCTGAATTCACTTACTAGAAAAGGCGGGTGGACACTGTTTTTGACCATATAATGTAGCTGAGGTGGTAATTAGCAGTCTATAACGGGACAACGAGGAGACGTGCGTAGGAAATCACATGCACGTCTATGCAAACTGCTTTCTAGGCAAGTGGTTTTGACAATCTAAGGGCTGCAGAAGTAGTGACCACCATGTCATGACAGCATAGGGGGCTACTTTATCTGTACTCGAAATAGCCAGCTGCAGCTGCTCTCTCATGGTCCTCACGGGGCGGCGCAGTGTAATCTGACTACACACGTTGACGGGAAATGCACCTAGAACTCAAGAGGACCAGCGTGCGTGTTGGGCTAATAAATGTAAACAAGCCCACTCGAAAACAGCCGAGGATCATATATGTGAACAACAATAAGCACGAATGTGCATTTCGCTCCTTCGAACGAGGAATAAGACTGTAGTGTGCGTTAAAAACACAGCAACAGATCAGCCACTTCATATTACCAAGACCTAAACTGCAGCGACGACGCGTGGTTACACAATAAGCCCCCACTTTCAGCAGAAGGCGAGGTACAGCAGCGCGTTTAATAGGCTTGCAACGTCACTTAATCCAGCTTGACTTTTCATGTAAACTGCGAGCCAAAGGCAAAAACAAGCTCGGGCACAGGACACAGAAACGACCTGTCCTAAACAGAAGAGCACACAGGCCACCAGTGCCCTCCCTGGACTGGACCCCCTCCCCACTTTCCCAGTCCAGCCAGCTCAGCGCTATTTACGAGAAGTCCTTTGTTGCAGAAAAGGGATTATCCAGTCACTAATTCCACGGCACGTTGCAACAAAGTGAGCCAACAATGCGCCGTATAAAGGCAAGCACGAATCGCAGCGGGGGTAAAAAGTGGTGGTACGGCACAGTGGCGAAACGCTGCAGCCTTTTCAGTCTTTTCCGAGTTGTCAACTCTGTAAAACGTTGACTGAACTGACGAGCGACAGTCCGTAGCTTTCGATATGAGGAGGATGTAACTATGACCCTATACTACGTACAGCGGGCGGCCAGCGGCCACATACGAATACTGTACTGTATATCTTCTGCGCTGGCTGCATTTCATCAAGTTGAAGTTCAAACTCGGGACAAAGCGCACCAGCTAAGCTGTTTACAAATCCCCTCGCTACTGCACTCGATTACTGGAAGTGTCTGAAGTGTCCACCATTTTGGTAAACATACCCGTGACCCAGTTTAGTTTAGAGATACTAGCTAACAGAGAAAGCCTACCGTTCTCGCTTCTTCTCTGCTTTTCCTGCCTCGTCTCGCCCAGGAGGTCGCAGCACGAGCGGCTGCTAGGTCCATGCGCCCGGTGGGTAATGCAATAGTACAGAAATGACTGCATGCATATCCGAGGTTGAGTCATGCTGCGCTGACCTCACTCCTGTATTACTCAAGAGATTGATTTTTCGCGCATACGAGTGGCGTGAATTAAAAAGTGGGTCGCTTTCTTTCTTTTCTCTTTCTCCGTGCAGAAAGCGAGCCAGGAGTCATGGAGGGGAGGGCAAACTGGGGAAACAGCACGCCTTTTTGCTTTACAGCCTGCACGGCGCGCGGCCTTTTAAAAGCGCAGAGAGAAAAGGCAGCAGTGGCGAAACAACACGTTCTGTTTCAGCTCGAGTCTCGTGATCCACCTCCTGCTCCGCCTGGCCACACCCACTTCCAGCACCATATAAGGCCTTCCCTTCCACGCGGGGCGCTGCGGGGTCATGCGGGAAATTCCGTCAGTGGGGAAACTGCGTCCTTGCCCGCAAACTACTACACTATACATTAACTACAGGAAAACAACACACATTGTTTTAGATTCCATACGTTTATCCAAAACAGCGTTACTGATTTGAAATGACACTACTAGATGTGCTGGTTCTTCTCTGTACATAACTAAATCTGTCCATTTCCACATAAATCAAATATTACATCAAGACAACTATTGCCAAAAGTAAAGTGAAGACAAAACTGTGCTGATGTAACAGTTTAATCATTCAGGAGGAAATGATGTATCCGAATAGAGTAAATTAAGTGCACCCTTTTTTGGTGCACAATGTTAACATACATGTTAAAACCATTTCATATAGACAGGCCATAGAAGTTATTAATTTAAGCTGCATTCAGTACAGGATATACATCAGAAATGGGGCCCCTGGATGCACATTTTAAAATTTGTTGATGTTTGGGGGCCTTAAGTGCTGCAACCATTTACACTGCAAAAATTATATCTTGGCAAGCAAAATGATCTTAAATCTAGTCAATACGTCTATTTTTTCCTCATTGTGAGATTGTTGTAAGTATAATTTAAGATTATAAAACTTATTTCTAGATAGTTTTACTTAAGTAATGTTTTTAAGTTAAATTAGATCATTTTGCTTGTTTTCTAGTCCATTTTAACCATGACCACTGAGGCTACACTGAAATGACTGAATATGAACAGCTATTTTTAAATGACATATGTATTTCAGAATATGTTATTTAACATCATCACATACAGTATACTAATTTGTACTTTTCATGTGGTCCTTGGCTCATGGGGGCCCTAGGCAGCTGACTACCTTTGTCAAATGCAAAGACCACCCCTGCTGCTGATGGTAGTAGTATGCTGTTTTGGTTGCAGCCCCATTAGTAGTAGTACATTCATTAGTATAGTATGTTTAGAAGCCTGTGTATAACATAGTATAGTATGTGGTTTTGGCTGCAGCAGTTGTAGCTTTTTAAAAGTTCCTCCCACCTTCAACATGCAGCACGGCTGTAGGACATGACTAAGCATGTTTACAACATATGTAGCAGGGGTTACATTTTTCCCTGGCAGTACTGAAGTACAAACATTAAGTATTTTCCACCCCGTACGTCTGTTTGCAGGACCGTTGTTGGTGCCAGTCATACTATCTTAGTTTCACTATCTGAGTTTATACTGAGGAAGTTATTGTGAGCATGTGTCACTTCATGGAGGATACAGTGGAAGCAGTGCTCCCTGCAGCCGTTTCAAGTCTAAAGTCACCAGGCTTAATGTCTGTTTCAAAACTGTAAATTTACACTTTTAGGAGTCTTAAGGTTGCCTAAACATTCATTTCAACCATTCATTTTTTAATACTGTATTGAAATCGTTACACCTGTACTATACATACTATACCAATGTATAACACTTAGTGATATACTATTTTGTTGGTAGTGCTTTGGTAGTATGCTGCACCCCCATGTAGTACATTCATTAGTACAGTATATACTAACAAAAATGCCTATGTATAATATAGTGTGGTTTTGAATGCAGCCCCTGTCTTATTCCAGATCTCATTAAAAAAAAACACATCAGCATGAGAGAAGGCTGCTCTCTGAGACTTTGTTCATGATTTGCATGTCTGCACGGTTCACACACATACTACTGGGGGAAAAACACAGGGGTCTACTATGAGCATGTACTGACAAAATGTAGCATATATTACAACTATGTACTAAAAAACCTCTTGGTTGAAACATCACAGAAGAAAACTAATCATACAACAGACCCTACATAGTTAGAATTCATCCTTCAGATAAATGTAGGTTGGATTTATCTGGACTGCTGTTCAATCAATAGCTATAAGATGCACATCTTCAGGGGTGGGAAACAGGAAAAACTGTACTCAAAAGGGGAATTCCACTGAATTTGAAAATTTCTGCTTAATTAACTTGTTCAGTACTCATTCAGCACCAGTTCAGAGTCAGATGTGGTAGTGGTAGTGATAGGAAACATTTAATTTAAAACATTTTACTCCAGAAACATTTAATGCCTAAAGGCTCCTTCACAAAAAGATATTACACATGGTTACAAATATACTGTGGGATGCCTGAGACAGTGTTTTACAATAATTATGAGATATGGTTTTGGTCTAAAATGTATTTATTTTTATTCTATTAATGGCAGAGAGGTACAGGGCACTGTAAGGCAACCTATTGTGGCTGTCTAAGAAAAAAAATACTACTTTTTATTTTTTTTATTTTTCTACATAATTTGAGCACAGCGGCTGCCCTTTTCATCAGGTTAAAATTCATGATGAATGGAACAATACAAATAATCTGAACTTATTTAGAAAAATCACATTATGTTGACTTAATTTAAATGCAAAGAACATTTTTGCTTCGTCCTGTGAAGCCACCACTTTGGAGATTTGGCAGTTTCATTTTATACTACCATTTTAACAGAATGTTTGAAAGCAATAATAATAAAATACATGGGGAAAACAATGAGCCTCATTAACCAACCGTTCTCAAGAAATGTCTTCTTAAAACCCACTTACACAGTTTTTAACAAAGATTCTGACATTCACTGGTCTTCTCTTATTTGGGATTTGTTCTTAGGTAAGAACAGATGCACACTCAAGAGCACAAAGATGCACATAATTATGTGGTTTAAGAACAGGACTTTTTCTTAGGACCTTTCTCAAGAACAAATTTAGAAAAAAATAAGAAGATATTACTCAATGAGGCCCAATATAATGGTCTTTCATATTTGTACCAATTACTTTAAAGAAAAGGGCCTCATTTACCAACTGTTCTTATGAGGAGTTGTTTTCCCAAAGCACAAAAAATGTGAACAATTCTGTGCTTTGAGAACACGTCACAAATCTGATGTAGACTTCATAAGACTTTTCTCAAGAACAAATGTAAGAGGAAACTTAAGAAGATATTGGGGAACGAGGCCCATTTTCCTTTAAGAGAGTTTTACTAATACTCCTGTAAAGTACAAATCTTTCAAGACAATACTTAAAGATAAGCCTGTCCAGAAAACAGCAATTCTATTTTTATTTAGCACAAAATGAATAACAGTGACAAGTTTTCAAGGCAGTTAAAGGCATACTGATGTAAAGTATCTAGACGGTAGCTACCTAGCTAAATTTAGGTTTTAGCTTGCTCACCTCCTCATCTGATTATTCATTTCCATCATATGAGTAACCCATTCTCTGCACTGCAATGGTGATTGAAAGACCATTAATACAGTTAGACAGCTACAATAAGATATTTGGCTTAGCAGTAAAACAACTTTTCAAAACAACCCCCCCCCCACCACCAAAAAAAAAGCCCTGAAAAATCCAACCCAAAGCAGTAGTAGTTTTTTAAAATTCTTCCCACCTTTAAGATGCAACACTGCTGTAAAACATGAGTAAGCATGTATACAACATATGTAGTGATTGTAACATTTTTCACATATCTCTTTACATACAGTAATGAGTACAATCACATAAGTATTTTCCAGCCCTGCACGTTTGCACTACTTGTTAAAAGAAGTGCTGAGAGACAGAACGGTGTTAATGCCAGTCACACTATCCGAGGTTCACTATTTGAGTCTATACTGAGGAAGTAATTGTGAGCATTAGTCAGGTAAAGGAGGATACAGTGGAAGCAGCGCTCCCTGCAGTCGTTTTAAGTCAAAGGTCAACAGGCTTAATGTCTGTTTCAAAACTGGAAATGTATATGTTTAATCTTAAGACTGTCCATGCATGAGGAAAAAGGCTCAAACAAACACTTTCAGAATATTAAAATGTTAGTATACACACACACAATATATTACTGCACAAGCTTTACTGTATGTAGTGTAGCCCAAAGCCTTGTGTGAAATGTATTCCACATGAGAATAACATTGTAAACACTTTAGAAAGGCCTTTTTCCCCCTTTCCTTTTTTCTTTTTTTTTTTTGTTGCTTTAATCTGGGATAATCTTAAGACATGTATGGATAAACTGAGAGCTTGGCCATTTCAGAGTGGGCAGATTTAATGGCTTTGAGGGCCCTGAACCTGTAATGGTATTTGGTAGGATTCCCTCATTCAAACTGAAAACCACAGAGAGGCTTTAGAGCCACTTGTCTCTAATGCACCTAGTGCTGCATGTGCAGGCCACTGAGCAGCTCAGAACAACAGCTACAGTCATGACCAAGCATGCTTGCCAAAGGAAAGCAGACACTGGGCCCAAGCCATGTGTCAGAGTGTGTGTGTGTGTGTGTGTGTGTGTGTGTGTGTGTGTGTGTGTGTGTGTGCTGTCTCTGCCTCAGCTTAAAATAAAGTGCAAAGCCAACAAACATTCAGGCCAGTGATTCTCGATACAAGCTATGCGCTGCACATGAAAGTAAGAGTATTTTTGAATGTAAGCAATCCAACCCATGAGACAGTTCACACTACTTTAGGTATCAATGACAAAAATTAGCAATTGTTCACAATTTTCAAAATTCTGTGATATGTAAAGCCGTGCCCATACCAATCCAATGTGCAGATTCTTGATTTAACTGCTTGTTAGACACATGCCAAAATGTAAAGCTTCAGTCTTCAAATTATGGTTACATCCAAATACCACCCAAAGTCTATTTCATAGTCACACATTAAAGTCAAAGTGGGTACTCTACTTTAACAACCATTCAGAATCAAAACAAATAATTAACAAACAAACAAAAAAATGCTTGCACAAAACTAAAGAAAAGCTGGGAGGCGAGGGCAGAAGAGCCAATTAAATAGTTACAGTTGTTGCAACATGAAGTTGCACAAGCAAAAGAAGCCTGAGCTTCTCCCTCATTAAAGCAACACCACCTGAGCCTCCCACTGCAGTTAGGATACAACTGTCATAGATTTACTTTACTTACATCAACCTCTAAACCCCCAATGATGATAGAAACGCAAAATCTTAAATCAAAGTAATCATCTCTGCAACACATAACATTTCTCTTAGACAACATCTACTGTCATCTAATGCACTAAATAAACCCTCAAACATGCTGCCTTACAGCAGAGCCTTCGTGGGAGGGGGAAACCCCCCTAAATCGAACAGTTACAGTTTAGGAAGCATCTACAGTAGCTTGAATTTGACATGCACTTCTGTCATTTCAGAAAGGAACCACCCAGCGCGTTAGGTGAAGCTCTAATTTCGACGCTTTGCACCAAACAGCCCAAACACACGTCGCTAATTCGTGCAACACTGACTAGAAAATCGACACTCAAACACAACACTATGTGCATTACAGTACCTCAGGATTTTTGCGTCGCAGTTTGAA